TGAGTCTGGGGGTGCGGAGCCTGGGGGTGCTGAGCCAGGAGGTGCGGAGCCTGGAGGTGCGGAGCCTGGAGGTGCTGAGCCTGGGGGTGCTGGGTCTGGGGGTGCTGCGTCTGGGGGTGCTGAGCCTGAGCGTGCTACACCTGGAGGAGCCCTCTCCTCCCAGCAGCTGCAGGAGAGGTACCTCGAGTACTGCCGCCTCCGGAGAGGTGCTGCTGGAGCTCGTCCCGGTACTTCCCCTCCTACCCAGGAGCTCCCCCCCATTCAGCAGATCCGCGAGTGGTACACACGGCGCTGCAGTCTTCGGAGTGGTGCTCCTGGTGCTGCGGACCCTGGGGGTGGCGCTGCTGCTGGTGCTGAGGACCCGGACGTTGGAGCTGCTACTGGTGCTGCGGACCCGCCTGGTGGAGCTGCTGCTGGTGCTGAGGACTCGGACGTTGGAGCTGCTGCTGGAGCTGAGGACCCGGGCGGTGGCGCTGCTGCTGGTACTGAGGACTCGGACGGTGGAGCTGCTGCTGGACCTGAGGACCCGAGCGGTGGCGCTGCTGCTACTGCTGAGGACCCGGGCGTTGGAGCTACTACTGGTGCTGAGGACCCGGCCGGTGGAGCTGCTGCTGGTGCTGTGGACCCGGCCGCTGGAGTCTCCTCTGCTTCTGGAGACGCTGCGCGGCCGCGACCGTACTTCGTACCGCTCCTTCAGCAGGTTCTTGGGCAGGCTCCTCCTCCTTGTCCTCCTCCCTCCGTAGAGTGTCCTCTGCCTGTCCAGTCGCAGTCACAGTTACCGCCTACCTCGCCTCTCCCTGCTCCCTCTCCTTACACTGGTCCCACAGGAGGTCTTACAGAGCATCGTGAGCCTGAGTCTCGTCCTGCGTCGCCTGTTCGTCCTGCTCGCACTGGTAGTCGTGTCCGTCGTGAGCGTCCTCCTCCTGTCCCAGGCACTCACTTCATGACTCTGCGTCCCTCTACTGCTCCTCAGCGTGTCCCTCTACCGTCTCCTCCCGCGTCTTCTTTGCCTCGCGTTCCGGACCCTGAGTCTGACCGGTACCGTGCTGAGCACCCTACTGTCACGCGTCTCCTCGCTACTGTTGTCACTGACCCTACCTTTGAGTCCTCGACTGCGTCTGCTCTGGTCGCTGAGTTGGTTGACTTTGCTGCTGCCTGTCGTCTAGACTACGCTGCTAGCCTTGTTGCTGAGTCTGAGTCTGAGTCTGTCTGTCCTCCGTCCGTCGGGGGTGAGTGTGCTCTTGGCACGGACGTCCTTGAGGACAGACAGGAGGAGTTCCAGTGTCTTGCTGCTGCTTTGCCCCGTCTCGTGTCCTTGCTAGTTGCCCCTGAGGGAGACCCGGATGCACCAGACATCCCGACCCCACGCACTTACGCTGAGGCGATCGCGGGTCCCTACTCCTCTCAGTGGCAGACGGCCATGGACGCCGAGATGGCTTCCTGGAAGTCCACACGCACCTACGTCGACGAGGTTCCCCCTCCTGGGGCGAACATCGTCAGTGGCATGTGGATTTTCAGGGTGAAGCGGCCGCCGGGTTCTCCGCCTGTCTTCAAGGCGCGTTACGTGGCTCGAGGCTTCAGTCAGCGAGAGGGAGTTGACTTCTTCCAGACCTTCTCCCCCACCCCGAAGATGACTACTCTTCGGGTGCTGCTGCACATAGCCGCTCACCGCGACTACGAGCTTCACTCACTTGACTTCAGCACTGCTTTCTTGCAGGGCAGTCTGCACGAGGAGATCTGGCTGCGCCGCCCACCTGGCTTCACTGGGTCGTTTCCTCCTGGTACCCAGTGGAGGCTTCAGCGGCCGGTCTACGGTCTCCGCCAGGCTCCGCGTGAGTGGCACGACACACTGAGGACTACACTTGCGGCTCTTGGGTTCGCGCCTTCTACAGCTGACCCGTCGCTGTTCCTGCGCACCGACACTTCGCTGCCGCCGTTCTACATCCTCGTGTACGTCGACGACTTGGTCTTTGCCACTGCTGACACTGCAGGACTCGCCTACGTGAAGTCGGAGCTGCAGAGGAGACACACGTGCACAGACCTGGGTGAGCTGACAAGCTATCTTGGCTTGCGGATCACCCGGGACAGAGCACGGCGCACCATCACCTTGACTCAGTCACACATGGTGCAGCAGGTTCTCCAGCGCTTTGGCTTCACGTACTCCTCGCCTCAGTCCACTCCTCTGCCTACCGGTCACTTGCTCTCAGCTCTGCCTTCGGATGAGTCCGTAGAGCCGAGTGGCCCGTATCCAGAGCTTGTGGGCTGCCTCATGTACCTGATGACCTGCACTCGACCTGACCTTGCATACCCTCTTAGCATCCTTGCACGCTATGTCGCTCCTGGCCGTCACAGGAAGGAGCACATGGATGCCGCTAAGAGGGTGTTGCGCTACTTGTGCAGTACGTCGGGCATGGGGCTTGTACTTGGAGGGCGAGACCGAGTTGTGCTCACAGGGCACTCAGACGCTTCTTGGGCAGACGACCAGGCCACTCAGCGGTCGTCTCAGGGTTACACCTTCAGCCTTGGCTCTGGCTCAGTTTCTTGGCGCTCTACACGCTCTCCTTCTGCTCTCGGTTCCAGTTGCGAGGCTGAGATCTACACTACAGCCATGGCTGCCCAGGAGCTACGCTGGCTGACCTACCTGCTGACTGACCTCGGAGAGCCGCCTCGTTCTCCTCCAGTACTGTACGTCGACAACAAGGCTGCTATTGCCTTGTGTGAGGAGCACAGACTGGAGCACAGAACGAAGCACATCGCCCTGCGGTACTTCCTTGCTCGAGAGCTGCAGCAGCGCGGTCAGCTTTGTATTCGCTACGTGGCCACTGAGGCCAACACTGCTGATGTGTTCACCAAGGCGCTTCAGCCTCGTGACCATCAGCGCTTCTGCACTCTACTAGGCCTTGTGCCTACTGGACCTCACTTGCTTACCTCTTGACTTTGCTTGTACTGTGATCACTATATATATCTATACCTGCATGTTTACTCTTGCTAGGTTGTGATCACTGTATCTCTGGCTCTGTTATAAACCTGCATGTGAACTGGTCTTGTGACCACTAGCTTGTGCTCGGAATTTGTGTGGAATCCTCGAGATCCACCCTGAGCTTGTTGTTGCCTTGCTTTGCCTTGACTGGTCTTGTGACCCCTAGGTCTCTCCCACTTTGCCTATGGGGGTGTGTCAAACATTATATATGTTGGGTTTGTTAGGCTACAGTGGGTTAGCCTATATGGGGTACACTATTCTAGGGTTTGCTATTTGTACTGATTTCTCTGTTAGTTCAATCATTCCAGTCCGTTCATTCTGACAGTTGCTGCTCCGAGTAGCCGTAGATGGTATCGCTTATAGGATCGTAGGGTACGTCGAATATGTCATCCCTAGGTCCTGCGCTCGAAGATGCAGCTTCAATATCAGGTATCACCTGAGTAGGGTTAGAAGGATTTATCCGAGGCTGGTACAGCTTCTCTTGAGCCTGGAACCTTCCCCTAGGCCTTTGCAGCTGTGTAGGCTTCATCTGTGGGGAACAGAGAGCTTTAAACAGAGCTGCTGGGAGAGAATATTAACTCCTCGGAACGCTCGACCCTTGTTAGCGCTCCGGAGTAGGGTCCCCATATTACCCGGTACCGGTTTAATTTCTGACTCTCCCTTAATAAAGGCTTGAAACCCACGAGAAGTAATATTCTTACTTGTCGGGGTGTACGGCTGGAGTTTCCCAGTCGGTGCAGGGTCTTGTTTCGCGGAGTCTCCATTTGTCTCGGCGATTTCCCCTGGTGCCGGCTGGTCGTGACGTTTTAAACTCGCGCCATCATATTCTCCTTTTTTTGCCTTCTCCGAAGTTGCCACGTTGTCTGTTTTCTGCTTCGTGGGTGCCGCACTGTTCTTGTATCTCAGCTCCGCACGCCTTCCCTTCATTTCCCAACACGCCAAGATACGATGTCCTGTAGCGCCGCAAAATTTGTACGTCTCAGTTTTTGCTAGCCGCTGCTCCACATCGCCCTCGTCGTTCTCCATCGGTTCAGCAGTCGTGGGTGGTGCCAATCGCCCCATGCCACTAGTTGGCTTGTTGCGTCGTGTTCCGTAGTAGCTACTGTTCAACGTGTCGAACTGTTCGATCAGTGCTGCCCGAAACTGCGCCCACGTCCCTTCGCCTTGGACTATTCTGTTGTTGATCCACAGCTGGGCCTAGTAACAGTGTTGCTGCGAGCCGTATGCGCATTGCGTCTTCTGTCGGGGTCGTGCACCCAACGGCTTCGAAGTAAATTTCGAGTTCAGCTACAAATCGACGAACGTCGTTCCCTTTAACTATAGGATCGAACGCCTCCGGTAGCCTCAGCTTCACTGCTTCGAGGTTAACTGTAGCTGCTGCCGTTGTCGCAGGTAGAATTGTCGGTGTCGCCGCTGCTGCTGCTGCTGTCGCTGCTGCATTCGCTGCTGCTGTGGCGGTTGCCGACTGGTTCGCAAGGAGTTTCTCGAGTCTTAGGAGCGCCGCACGTATCTGCTTATGCTCGGCACGTAACTCCGCGATTTTCTGTACTGAAATATCTCTTTTTCCCTCCATTTGGCGATTTACAGAGAGAAGCACGACGAAAATAATTGATTTATGGGTGCTGGTCGACTTACTGCGAGTCGAATCGACTGTAAAATCGACGAGCGCGAATTCTGTACGTGGCGTAAACCTCTCTTAGTTGAAATTCGCGTTCGATCTCGGCCGTTGAGAAGAAACTCGATCCGACGCTCCAAATTCCAACGTTTTGGGGCGAAATTCTCTGGGCCGTTGAGATGAAAATCAATCGAACGGTAGAAACTCCAACCTTTCAACCGGTAAATCTGAGGGGTATTCGAAAACCGAATCGAGGGGGACCAAGAAAAATTGCGCGGAACTGGTTTTACATACCCGTATCGGCGCCTTCGTCGTCGCCCCCGCGGTTTTTAAAGGCCGGAACTACGCGGTTGAAGACCTCGCGTGTAAACCCGCTCTGACGTGTGAGGATCTGGTTCAGGAAAGATGATTCTATTGAATGATTCACCTGGGTACAAGGCGAGGCTATATATAGGCTCGACACAAAGACAGTAACCCGGGTGTTACTAGAAGGTTCCGCGGGTCGCGAAGCGTCCCGAACGGGTCCTTCCCGAATTCGGTAGAAGGCAATTCGGTGGCAATCGAAAAGCCTAGAATTCGGTGCACTCAACCTAGTTCGGTGCCTACAACTATAATTTCTATAGTAAAGGAAACGAATGTATCAGCGCCTTCAATCCTTCTCGCCGCCTGGATGGGTGGGTGGCTGAGACACTTACAAGAGAATGGTCAGAACAGGAGGTTAAGAATGCTTTTGCAGCAATGGCGCGGAACAAGTCACCAGGCAGTGACGGTTTACCCAAGGAGCTGTTTGAGGCGCATTGGGACCTGCTGGGGGAAAGCTTCATGGCTATGGCAAAGGATTTTGAGGGTACCGCTGCGCTGCCGGCTGAGATCAAGGAGGCGGTGACGATTTTGCTGCACAAGAAAGGCGACAAGGAGCTGCTAAACAACTACCGGCCGATCACGCTGCTGAACTTCGCGTACAAGGTGCTTGCTCGGGTTGTCGCGGATCGGATGAAGTCGGTTCTGCATATGGTTATCTCACCGGAGCAGTACGGCTTCATTCCGGGAAGGCGTTTGTCAGATGCGGTCGCCTTGGTGGCTGACATAATCGAGGGGGCGAAGAACGATAAGGGCGATTGCTATATGCTCCTGGTGGATTTTCAGAAAGCCTTTGACTCGGTCTCAAGGGACTTTCTGTTCCAGGTGCTGGAGTCCATGGGCTTTCCGGAGCAGTTTGTTGGATGGGTTAAAGGCCTGCATGAGGGTACAACAACGAAGTTGTTAATAAATGGCTGGCTCGGTGAAGGTGTGGATGTGGTGTCGGGGGTGAGACAAGGCTGCCCCCTAGCGCCCTACCTCTTTCTGTGTGCTGTGGAGCCGCTGGCTCTGGAGGTGGAACGGAAGGAGCTTGGTCTGGAGAAGGATGGGCACCGGCTAGGATATCTTGGTTACGCGGATGATACGACGCTGGTCCTGCAAGGGGAAGCGCAAATTGGTCAGGCAGAGGAAATTCTGGATCGCTTCAAAAAGGTTTCGGGGTTGACGACACACAAAGATAAGTCGGTGGTCTTACCTTTGGGCGCTAACATCGGCGCAACTGGGGGAGGCAGCTTCAAGTGGGCTGGAGCGGATGAAGCAGAGAGGTTGCTAGGCCTTTGGGTGACGCCGTCTGGAAGTGGCAGGCCGAGTTGGGAGAAGGCGTGGAGCTGTATCTCGGAGAAGCTCACCAAGTGGCAGCTGAAATACCTGACAATCACAGCGAGAGCAACGGTGGTCAATTTCTACATCACGCCGATCCTTGCCTTTCAGGCGCAGATCTTCCCGCCGCCAGCGGATATCTGGCTGGAAATCATGCGGCTGATACACAGCTTTACCTCGGGTAACAGAGTGGCGACGGCGAAAGGCTTCGCACTTTGGAGCAGAGAGTTGTTGTTTACCCCGAGGCTGGACGGAGGCATTGGTGTCAGGGACCCGGAAATCCTCATCACCTGCTTGGCGGCAAGGAGGGTGGGGCTTTTCATAACGGAGAAAAATCCACTCAAGAGAGATCTCATGGAACGGGCCGCGAAGCTTCCGTTGGGGCTGGACTCGTTCACTGCACACACAAAACTGTTGAAGCACTGGGAGAATGGCAGCGCTCGGTGGAAACAGACGGTGGAGAGTTTCATGCGTTCTCCTTTCTCTGTCAAGAACCTGGTGGGGAGCAAGGAGGAGGTGCTTCGGGAGAGATTGGTCTTTAATGCTGACATACTTCTCAACGGCACCACTAATCCGCTGGGGGGGCAGAAAGATGCTCAGGGTTTGACAGAACTTAGGGTCGGAGATCTGCTCGAAGAAGAGGAGAACGGCGCGGTGTTAGTAAAATCCATGGAAGTGCTAAAGCAGGAACTTGGTGGTAACGGGCCTGCGAAGCTGGCGATGAGGGCGCTGCTAGCTCTCCCGTCTTACTGGCACAGATTGCTCGGATTTCCAACAGTACCTCCGCAGTCGGCTGGATCATCCCCACGGATACCAATTCTGGAAGGGGAGCGGGTAATCTCCATGAAACGAATGAAGGAGGGTTGGAAGGGGACATACAGCCAGTCATACAAGCAGCAAAAGTGGGTTTCACGATGGGGGAATCACATCGACTGGAAGCAGGTGGTGACGACCAGGGACTCCCTGGCTATTCCTAGCCGTCCAAGGGACGTCCTGATAAGGATCCACGGTCTAAACCTTCAGGTGGGAGAAAGACTGGCTTTCCTCAGCAGTAAGCCTACCTGCCCGCACTGTGGGGAGCAGGAAACCCTGGAGCACTGCCTCATTCTCTGCCCCAGGATACAGGTGGTGACCTCGGCTCTCCGACGTGCCCTGCGCATGCTAAATCCCAACCGACCATCAGCTTCGCTGGGCGATATACTGTTTCGGAAAACGGGTACCAGGTCAGCTTTTCCGGAGCTGACCCTCACGTCAGTGGTGCTGCATCAAGTCTGGGTGGAAAGATGTGAAGCAGTTTTTCGGGGGCAGAAGTTTCGGCCACAGCGTGTTCTTTGGAGGGCGGAGTCAGCTTTTAGGCTACACGCAAGAATCTATATGCGCAAAATGGGGGCAGCTCGGAAGAAACGATTGCAGGAAAATTTCGCGGAGGAGAAGAGGATGCTGAGTAGAATCATGCTGGATGGTAAGGGTTGGACGTGGACAAGTGCGTTTGCTGCGCTGTGGTCCAAGAGGAGGGCATGCAGCAACTCGCCTTAGACAGCTCACCTGGAACAGTAATTTATTTTACTGTTGCCTCACGCACGGTTACGACCGTTTGATGGTGTATGCTTGTGCTCTGGTATATACTAATCAATATTCAAGAAAAAAAAAAAAAAAAGGTAAAGGCAACGAATCTAGGAAATCAAGCAAAAGCATGCAAGATAAAATAAAGCTAAGCTAGTAATAACATAATAAAGTCCAGGCAAGCTAGCAAAGCCAGCATAAGCCGTCGTACTCTCACATCGGCCTAAGTTACCACAAAACTGCAACTACGACTCTGAAACTAATCAGCTACCTGGATGACGATTATGCTTACGACTCCGAGAACAGACGATCGCGCACCGGCTATCGCTATCGACTTGAGCATGTCGGTCCTATCTCATGGCAATCGAGCAAACAAGAGCTAATTACTCCTTCTTATGCCGAAGCAGAATACATTGCACTTTGCACAGCCACTAAGGAAGGACTGTGCCTCCGCGAACTACTAGAAGAAACAAAACTTGCCGAGTTACCCGACTTCTCCCTCTTCTGCGACAACCAATCGGCAATTCGCATAGCGAACAAGAACGGGTTCGCGAACCAAACGAAGAACATCGCCCTGCGATATTTCCTCGTGAAGGATGAGATCGAGAAAGGAAGACTCGAGCTATCCCACTCCCCCACGTCCGAGATGGTCTCCGTCAGGCGCCCTGCGAGAGGCACGACACACTGAGGATGACATTTGCGGCTCTTGGTTTCACTCCTACTGTTGACCCGTCGTTGTTTTTGTGTACCAACCCTTCTCTGTCGTCGTATACGTCAACGAATTGGTCTTTGCGAGTGTTCACAGTAAGGCACTGACCCTTGTGAAGGCGGAGCTGCAGAAGAGACACACTTGCACTGACCTGGGTGAGTTGCGAAGCTATCTTGGCTTGCAGACCACCTGAGACAGAGCAGCGCGCACCATCACTCTGACTCAGCCACACATAGTGTAGCAGGCCTTTAGCGATTCCGCTTTTGGTTCTCCTTGCCACAGTCCACTCCTCTGCCTACGAGGCACTCGCTCTCATCTCCACCTTCGGACGAGTCCGTAGAGCCGGGTGGTCCGTATCCAGAGCTTGTGGGCTGCCTCATGTACCTGATGAGGTGCACTCGACCTTACCTTGCGTACCCTCTTAGCATCCTAGCTCGCTACGTCGCGCCTGGGAGACACCGGCGAGAGCACTAGGAGGCTGCTAAGAGGGTGATGCGCTACTTGTGCAGTACATCAGGCATGGGGCTGGTGCTTGGAGGACGGGGTGACGTTGTCCTCACTGGACACTCAGACGCCTCTTGGGTTGACGACCTGGCTACACAGCGGTCGTCACAGGGTTACACCTTCAGTCTTGGTTCCGGCTCTGTCTCTTGGCGGTCTACCCGCTCTTCTTCTGTTCTCAGCTCCAATTGTGAGGCTGAGATCTACGCCACTGCCATGGCTGCACAGGAGCTTCGCTGGCTCACCTACCTGCTGACTGACTTGGGAGAGCGGCCTAGTTCTCCTCCAGTTCTGTACGTCGACAACAAGGCGGCCCTCGCCTTGTGTCAGGAGCACAGACTGGAGCACAGAACGAAGCACATCGCTCTGCGTTACTTTCTTGCTCGAGAGCTGCAGCAGCGTGGCCAGCTTCGTCTTGCTTACATGGACACACGGGCGAACACAGCTGATATATTCACCAAGGCACTTCCGCCTAGTGATCATCAGCGTCACTGCACTGCTCTAGGCCTCGTGCCTACGTTCTCTCACTTGCTCACTGCTTGACCTTGCTTGTACTGTGATCTTTATATATCATTGCATGCTTATATTTGCTAGGTTGTGATCACTGTACTGCTTGCTTTGTTTTATATAACTCTGCATGTGGACTGGCCTTGTGGCTCTTTGCTTGTGCTCAAAATGTGTGGTGACTTCGTGATCCACCCTGAGCTTGCTTTGCTTGTTTGCGACTACTTGTGCTCCCCCATCTTGCCTATAGGGGTGTGTCAAAACATTGTATTGTGTAGGCTGTAGTGGGGTAGCCTATATGGGGTACAACCCAGTTTAGGGTTAGTACTTGTACCAAACCCTGTCATAGTTCATTCATTCCTGCTGCTCATTCTGACACTTCGAGGTCATTGGCTCGTGAAGGTATGTGAAGATTTGTTTTTTCTTTAACCACTCATTGCAGACTAATATGCAGCATATAACTTTAAAACCATACAAATAGTTAGCTCAACAATAACCAGAGTCGTTTTTCATCCAGTGCAACCTCTAAGATGGCAAGTGCAGCACCCCTTTCTTGTGCAGGGAGGTGCAATGAGGGCAGAACCATTTGTCATGGATCCGGGGCATGGCCATGCTGAGCCCCACACACTCGTAGTGGAACCACTCGCCTCCCTCACACTGCACATTGGGTGACAGGGAGGGGCGGACCGGTTTGTGAGGGGGTGTGAGGGGGGTGTGTGGAGGGGGGGGGGGGGGGGGGGGGGGGGGGGGGGTGGGTGGTGCTAGCATGCCAACATCCCCACTCCACACATCATTTATCGTGGATCCGGGGCATGGCCATGCTGAGCCCAACACACTCGTAGTGGAACCACTCGCCTCCCTCACACTGCACACCGGAAAGGGGGAGGGGAGGGGAGGGGAGGGTAGGGGAGGGTAGGGGAGGGGAGGGTGGGGAGCGGGGTTGAGAGGTGGGAATTTGGGTGGCTCTAGCGTCGTCACACTCGCAGTGGGAGTAGGAGGGGGGGGGGGTTAACGGGGGTAGTGGGAAGGGGGAAGGTGAAGATTGGGTGGTGTTAGTGTCCTAACATTCTCACACACTTGTGGTGAAACCACTCGCCTGCCTCGCACTGCAGATAGGGCGAAGGTGGGAAGAGAGGGGAAAATTTAAAATGGCCTTAGTTTCCCAATTCCTCGCACTGACCTGAACATGGTATGAGGGATACTCAGTTGCATATTCCCTTGCACATTCACATGCGCATGCACATGCACATGCACATACACATGCACATGCACATGCACATGCCCATGCACATCCACAATCACACCAACATCCAAATGCACAGCCAGGGCATGAGAACATTCACAATCCAATCCCCATGCATTTCCAAAATCACATGCTTATCATGCATGTGCCTGCAATAAAATCTACACACACAACTGTGCAGAATCTTGCCTGCACTGGATTCTGAATCTGTACTTATTTGCAGCTTATATGAAACTCACGTGTGCGTTATCACATGCGATCATGTCTCCAAAAGACACCTGCCAGTGGCGCCATCAGTGTGGGTGGACAGGCAGTTAGTGGAATAGAAACATCAAACACAGGAGAAGAGGAAGTAAGCAGTGAGGTACTGTGAGGAAGAATCGGCCAGAACTGAAACCGTTTGAAAGGAAGTTGAAAATGAATGAAAATGAAAGTGAAAATGAATGAAAAAAGCACACATTGCTCGCATATGAAAGGAAGTTGGTACGAATAAACGGCAGTAAGCAGAACCTGCATAGTTTGATACGAAGACAGAAGGCACACCTGCCCGCAAATGCAATACGTTGGCTCATACACCTGCTCTCCTGCCCCTCCCTCGGGCACCTCCCTCCTCTCACCAGCTGCCCCCTCTGGCACGCCCCTGCCCACCCCTCCCTTCTTTCTAGAGAGCGGAAGGGCAGCAGGAGGCGGCATGAGAGCAGCCCCCCTTCCTCCCCTCTCCCACTCCCTCTCCCTCGCTGCCTCCCTCACTGCCTCCCTCCCTGCCTCCCTCCCTGCTACTCTCTCGCTCTCCCTCTCCTGGTTCCCTTGCCACGCCTCCCCCTTTGCTTCCCCCACCCCCCCTCCCCCACCCCCTCCCCCTCCCCCACCCCCTCCCCCACCCCCTCCCCCACCCCCTCCCCCTTCCCCACCGCTGCCAGATGCCAGCACAGCCACCGCACTCAACCCGCGCCCTTCTCCCTTAGGTTCCCCCCACCCCCGCGCCCCTCCCCCCCCCCAGCTGCTGGGGAGGCAGCTGGGGCGGCAGGGGGGCGACGGGGGGTGACGTAGGGGGAAGAGAGGTTGGGGGAAGGAGAAGGGGTGCGGAGGGGCGTGGTGGAGGTGGAGGAGGGGAGGATCCGACGGTCAGGAATGGGTGTGAAGGGATCATCCACCATGAACCGTCCATCTGTGGGGGATTGACAAGGAGCAGGGATTGACAAGGAGCAGGGATTGACAAGGAGCAGGGATTGACAAGGAGCAGGGATTGACAAGGAGCAGGGATTGACAAGGAGCAGGGATTGACAAGGAGCAGGGATTGACAAGGAGCAGGGATTGACAAGGAGCAGGGATTGACAAGGAGCAGGGATTGACAAGGAGCAGGGATTGACAAGGAGCAGGGATTGACAAGGAGCAGGGATTGACAAGGAGCAGGGATTGACAAGGAGCAGGGATTGACAAGGAGCAGGGATTGACAAGGAGCAGGGATTGACAAGGAGCAGGGATTGACAAGGAGCAGGGATTGACAAGGAGCAGGGATTGACAAGGAGCAGGGATTGACAAGGAGCAGGGATTGACAAGGAGCAGGGATTGACAAGGAGCAGGGATTGACAAGGAGCAGGGATTGACAAGGAGCAGGGACAGACAGGTCAGGCGAAAGTGTTTAGTGAAATACGTCGAGGTCTGAAAAATGCTATAAGCAAAAACTGGTAACCATTCTTTTTTCACAAAGCTTACAAGCAAATGAATACCCTTTAACTGTTGACTTGTTTCAAGCAGCAGTTGCTGCACGTGAAGTCCTCACTCCCCTCACCTTGCTCACTCCCCTCACCTTGCTCACTCCCCTCACCTTGCTCCCTCCCTCACCTTGTTTCAGGTCCTCTGAAAAGTGCTGCAGCTCCTGGTTCAGACTGCGCAGGTGGCTCTCCAGCTGACGAGGAAGGGGAGACGAGAGGATGGAGGGGTGAATGAAGTGGACGAAGAGCAGTGAGAGTTACGCAAGCACTGCAGCTCTTCTCCCCCCCTTTGGTCTTCGCGGGGAGCTTCCCAACCTTCACCGGAAGTGCCCCAACCGCTTGTCTCTCCGCCAAATGCGGCGCCCCATCCGCCAGTCTCGCTTGTGGTCCTTTCGCCGATGCTTCCCCACCCCCCTTCATTAGAGGCGTTTTCCTCTTCTCCCCATTCGCTCCATGCAAATGTTCTGCGCGCCTCGGCAAGGCTCTGTCGGCGGAGCTCCTCTGCTTCGCGACGCGCCAAGTCATCTTCTTCCGCCACGGTGATTTTTTGCCGAGGGGTCGCGCCAGTGGGGGTAAGCCTTCTGGAATTCCTCCCGTGTGTAGGGGCGCGCGACTCCGCGCGCGTCGAAGGCGCCGACACTGGTCCCGCGCAGCATGCCTTGAAGGTGCTCTGTTGCCGAGCCGGTAAGAGGATATTCCAGTGTTCCGAACACGCCGCGCGTCGTGATTTCGAGCTCCAGTTACGACATCCCTTCTTCTGGCGGTGCATGTCGCTCTGCTTCGGCGATGGCGGCAAGTCCACGGCCGGCAATCACACTGGTTGATGCTGTGGGCGTGTGACAGTCACGGCAGATGCCGTCTGGGTCAGGGTCGTGCAGCGCCAGATCACGTGGGTGAGGATGATGTGGCACCCACGATCTTCCGTCAGGGTGTTTCCAGTCCCTGCGGTGAATGTGCTCGAAGCGCAGTGGAACGAGATCGATTAACTCCTTCGAATCACCGCTGCAGTCGGGAATGTTGAAGTCCAGGATATACACTCCATTTTCAGAGTGCGCTCTTCCGATCTGCCTTCGGAAAAAAGTTGGCGATTCATAGTGCAGCAGGATGTCACGTGTCTCGCGGTCCGTGCTGAGTTCGACGCCGCAATCCATGAGTCTCGCCGATTTCACTCGTTGGTGGGCAGCCTCATGTACGCGGCGGTCAACACACGACTAGACGTCGCCTTTGTTACCGGGGAGCTGGTTAGGGCTGTTCAATGCCCTAATGAGGAGCAGGTAGCAGCTGGAATGAGGGTGGCCAAGTATCTTGGCCAAACACCGACCGTTGGGCTGCAATACTCGGCGGCGGCGCAAAGGCGCCAAAAGGGCGCGGATGGTGTTGAACCCGTGCATGTAGTCCTCACAGCCATCTCGGATGCTTCCTAGGCATCAGAACCAGAGGATATGACGAATGTGGGAGGCTTCATATGCTGTGTTGGTGGAGGCCCAACTGCTTGGGAGAGCAAGAAGCAGGTGGACCAAGCATTGAGCTCGGTGGAGTCCGAGTACATGGCACTCTTCCGTGCCGTACGGGAGATTGTGTGGCAGCGGCGTTTGTTGGCTGAATTGGGGGAGGAGCAGCAAGGACCTACCCCACTCTACTGTGACAGTTAGGGTGCCATTGCACTTGCCAAGAACCTTGTGCTGCACGGCCTCACCAAGCACATGAGGGTGAAATGGCATTGGACGAGGAGCATGGTGGCCGCGGGTGAAGTTGAGTTGCGCTACGTGAAGACGACGGGGCAGCCAGCTGACATGATGACCAAGAGGCTGGTGGAGCAACAACTGGAAGTGTTGCAAGCTGGGTGGGATGGCTCTGAACTGAGAGTAACAGATACTAAGGCCAACAATCCGAGGGGGAGTTTGTTGGTGCAACCCTACGGTTTGCACTCGGCTTGTTGTCCGTGTGCGTGCATGCGTGTGTGCATGGAATGGTATGAGGGCATGAAATAATATATATATATTTATGCTTACAATAGTGTGTGAATGATGAGTCATGATGTCGAGTGTGTGTGTCAAGTCAATAGCGAGTTATCGCTAGTCGCGTGTTACGCGGTCATTTGTGTCTCGTGCGCGGTTTCTATTTTGTCGTGTGTGTCCCATGCGCGGCTTCTATTTTGTCGTGTGTCGAAAGTTCGGCGTGGTGCAGGTGTGTGCAGCAGACCCATCAAGAACTCAAGGATGAGTTTATGGTGAAGAACCAGAGCCTTGGTTTCAAGATTCAAGTGATCTCGAAGCCCGCGAAAAGGGTACACTTCAAGATATTGAGAAAAGTGGCATTACAAATATTTCTCTTCGTGTAGGCCCTTGTGGAGGGTAGTTTCGAGACCCTTCTTGGTTGGGGACAGTGTGGCACTGTTCCACATCACTGTACCTCGGCTCTTGGGGTTTGTAGGAGCTGGGAGTCATTCCCAACTCCTTAACTCTTCCTAATTTGTTCTCTAAGACTATAGTGGCTGCCATAGTGCCGTTCGTTCAAACTGATGTTGCGTCGTCAATTCTTGGTGAAATTGTGCGATCTAAATTGCCTATTGTAGAGGACGTCAAGACGCTCCAGATCCAATTTGAGTCAGGCCATTTAGAGCTGTGACCAGAATGCTTTGATCGTTTGAAGGTGCTGTGCAGAAAACCGACTATGCAATCTATCTTTCGTTTTAGGCACATTCAAGCCTATTGTAATAATAACATATTAACGTTGCCGTTCTAACGCTACAGCATCTAGGTGACTAGGCCACTGAGAGCAGCCATTGCGTGGGAGCCAGAATCTCTCAGTTACTGGCTGAGGCAGAGAAGGGAAGGTATTACAGGAAGAAGGCAGAGAGGAGGAAGGGAGGATGAGTGTCGGGAGGAGAGGGCAGGCCATGGGAGGCAACAGAGGAGGGGTTTTCGACGTTTTTTTTGCTGTAGTTATCATAACATCCTAGGGTGGTATGTCCGAGTGATTACGGTATTTTACATTGGTTGCGTGAATTGCGCTAGTGTCACGGACGAGTTGGGCGAGGCCCCGTCAAATCCCAAAAATTGCACGCGTGTTGAAATGCCAAGCTGTTGGCCGGCCCGACCGCATGCACTTGGACGCCCGAAGTGGTGGCAGATTCGAGCGGGAAATGAAACCGCCCTGCTCGGGCAAACCAACGAATGGTGCTCACGGCCCACTTTCGCTCTTCCTTGCCCGCTCATATGCTCCGTTCCGACCCTTTTGTCATCTCTCCCTCCCCAATCTCTTCTCCTCACCCAACCTCATTTCTCATTTCTTGTTTTCCGCCTCCACAGATCTATCCCATCCCATAGCTATGGCCCGTAAGTGCAAGAGAGCAGCCACTACTGCTGACATGTGCCCGCGAGATCTCAACGAGATCTCGTATATTGCCTGGATGAAGAGGCAACTTGCCGCAGGACGCAAGCCCGCCGGCCCGCTACCCGAAGGAGCGCCTTCGCCCGGGGACACATCTTACCAAGCCCCGCTTAACGTACTGGGCCCGCCTCATCCGTCACATCGAGAAGGAGAATCCCGGTTGAGTGCGCAGCGTGAACTCGGTGCAGAAGCAGTGGCCCAATCTACAGTGCCTCGCCTAGCCGCTTGCGCCTTTCCCGCGAAGTTGTTTGCGTGCACGGGACACACGGCTCCCACTTGAACTCCGCTACAGCTCCACGTGCCCATCATGGTTTGCGGTTTCGTGGCAAGTTGGTCCACGACGCGTTAACACGCCTCACTGCCCCCATTGTTTCGCACATGTTGTGCAGGATGACGAGTCGGGATCTCAACCTTACCCTTCCCTTCCCTTGCTCTTTTCCCGTGCATCTCTCTGCCACCTTCTCCCCTGTCGCTCCCACTCCCACTACAGCCTCTCTTTGTCTTCACTTGCTGCCTTCCTACTCCCCTTTGTGCTCTTTACCTCTCAGCTTGAGCCTTCCCTTGCCCCCTCCCTTGACCAGCTGCCGTCGTCCTCGCCCTGGTCATGGGACCTACATACCCCTTCACCTTCTGCTGCTTGCCGGCCAATGCCACGTTAGTGACGTGGTCCATCACCCACTTCCCGTTGTCATCCTCCAACACCAGCACACCTGAGCCCCGCACTTCCTTCACTATCCACCGCTGCTGTGAGACTCACACGTCTAGCCCATCGTGCTTTGCCCTTCGCACGTACACTACCTGACCTTCCTCTAGAGTTGGATCTTTCCCTTGCAGCCTGCTCAGCTGCCTCTGTTTGTAGCGGTGTATGTCCCGCAGCTGAGCCACCTTCAGGCTTTCCATGGCCGCCGGCAACATCCTCTTCAGATACATCGCTCTA